AAGAGATCAAAACATCAACGTTCCAAGAAGAAAACTAATATTTCTTATAAGAAGATGTATTATTTTCCTTTAACTCCACGTCTACAAAGGTTGTATGCATCTAATGCAACATCAAAACATATGAGATGGAATTCAGAGCATGAAAGAGATGGTGTCATGCGTCATCCTTCAGACTCTCCTGCTTGGAAACATTTTGATCAGACGTATCCACATTTTGCATCTGAAGTTAGAAATGTTAGATTGGGTTTGTCTACTGATGGGTTTCAACCATTTGGTCAATCAGGCCAACAATATTCCTCTTGGCCTGTGATAGTTACACCATATAATTTACCACCTTGGATGTGCATGAAGGATGAATACATGTTTTTATCTGTGATTATACCTGGTCCATAAAATCCAAAACAGAAAATTGATGTCTTTTTGCAACCCCTCATTGAAGAGTTGAAAGAATTATGGGAGGTGGGAGTCCAAACATATGATGTTTCAAGTAAAAATAATTTTCAAATGCAAGTTGCATTGATGTGGACAATAAGTGATTTTCCAGCGTACTCAATGTTGTCGGGTTGGAGTACAGCAGGAAAATTAGCTTGTCCTTATTGCATGAAAGATTCTGATGCTTTTTCACTATCCAATGGTAGAAAGGTCTCATGGTTTGACAATCACAGAAATTTTTTACCCCCAGATCATCCATGGCAAAAAAACAAAAAGTGGTTCAAGAAGGGTCAAATAGTACATAAGGTTGCATCTATTGAACAATCAGGTTTACAAATACTTAGGGAGATTGAGGATTTGGGACTCATGAAAGTGACAGAACTTGGTTCTGACAAGGTGAATGCAAGAATCTCAAAGAGCAGCTTATGTGGTTGGAAGAAAAGAAGTATATTTTGGGACTTTCCTTAATGGAAAAAAATCTTATTAGGCATAACCTTGATGTGATGCACATAGAAAAAAATGTGTTTGATAACATTTTTAACACCATCATGAATGTCAAGGAAAAAACAAAGGACAACGCCAAATCTAGAGAAGATTTAAAAGTACTTTGCAATCGTCCAGAGTTGCATCAGGATGAAACTACTAAAAAGTACCCAAAAGCTTGTTACATGTTAGATGATAATGCCAAAAAAGTGCTTTGTAAGTGGTTGCAAGAGTTGAGATTTCCTGATGGTTATGTGTCTAACATGGGAAGATGTGTTGACATGAACAAGCTTAAACTCTTTGGTATGAAGAGTCATGATTGTCATGTATTTATGCAACGGCTCATACCTATTGCATTTCGAGATTTGCTTCCACGAAATGTGTGGGAACCATTGACAGAGTTGAGTCTTTTTTTTAAAGATCTCACTTCTACCGCAATAACTGAGGAACACATGAGACAATTAGAAAGAAATATTCCTCTCATCTTGACTAAGCTTGAGCGCATTTTTCCTCCAAGCTTCTGGGATTCTATGGAACATCTTCCCATCAATTTAGCTTATGAAGCATGTTTAGCAGGCCCAGTTCAAGAACGATGGATGTATCCATGTGAAAGGTAACTTAAGTTAATTATATATTATAAGATATATAAATATACTAGTGATACTATATTGACATATACTTACATTATGTTTGAAGGAAACTCCATGGGGTGAAGTATGATATAAAAATTAAGAATAGAGTTGAAGGTTGTATATGCAACGCATGTTTGGCTAAAGAATCATCAACACTTTGTACGCACTACTTTAAGTCAGACATTTCGACAAGATATAGAAAAGTGCCATGAAATGCGGATGATGGTGGGGTTGGAA